GTGTGTGCACAAAGTGTACCATATTCTGCACTGTCTGCTTGTTTTTTGTTTTTCTCACTCTCCCCCTCACTCTGATCTTCAGAAAGATATTTACGACCCTCTGCAAGAATGTTGTCTATTTTCTATCAAACCTGTGTCTTATCTGCACTCATGTCGCTTTAACCCCTGTATCACAACTCAGCTTTAAATTCCACATGTCGTCTTGCTCAGAAATGCTTCAGACTGGAGGTTCTCCCGAAAGCTTGTCATTAAAAATTTCTGTTAGTCCAATAAAAAAGGTATTTCAAGATGCAAACTGTAGGAGGCGGTGATCGTGGCGGTGTAGGTGGAAGCAGCGGTGGAGGAGGAAGTAGCCAACACTGGTTTTTATTTGTTTTGTTTTTTTTAATTGGGGTAGCCCCCAAAATATTGGGACATATAAAAAAAGAAACATTTGCGGACTGCGGTGCATTTCGTGCAGTCCAATAACGCCATCAGGTTTTTAAAACCGTCGGTCTCCACCAGATGGAATGACAGCATTTCAAAGGCCACAAATTTTGAAATGCTGGCATTCAGGGCCAGGGATCGCAGGTGGCTGGGGGGTACTTCCTCTTTCTCTCCAGTGTTTGGGAGATGGACAGCTGAACGCTTCCATGGGACAGTGTGGAGATGATGGACAATTGTGTACCTGGCCTATGCTGGTGCAGGAACCCACCCTCCGAGCCACTTGTGAATGACTGGCCTGATAACCATGGAAATTACCCCTCTTCCTCCTGCTCTTCCTCCTGTGCCACATCCTCTTCCATCATCGCCCAAAGACATAGAAGCGGGATAGTAAGGCTGAGAAAGGCGTCATCGGCACTGGCCATGTTGGTGGAGTACTCGAAACAGTGCAAAATGGCACACAGGTCTCGCATGGAGGCCCACTCATTGGTGGTGAAGTGGTGCTGTTCCTCAGAGCGACTGACCCGTGCGTGCTGGAGCTGAAACTCCACTATCGCCTGCTGCTGCTCGCACAGTCTCTCCAGCATGTGCAAGGTGGAGTTCCACATTGTGGACATGTCGCATATCAGAGCAGATCAGAGGCTATTCCTTTATTACACAAATCCTCCTGGCCCGGTATGCGGTCAAACCCGAGCAATACCGCCAAAAGTTTAGGGAGACCCGGAAAGGGGAGAAGGACTCCCATGCTTAGTGGGCATGCCGCATCACAAGGGCCACCCAGAACTGGCTCAACTCCCATTAAGCCAGGTTCCCAGAGGAGATCACCCAGCTCGTCATGTTAGAGCACTTTTTCAATGGGCTCCCCAACGACACGGCTTGTGAGAAACCGCCAGCCCCAGACCCAAGAAGTATTGGTAAGAGCTGCTGAAGCTAGCTCACAATATTCCCTTGGCAGTGCATTTGGCCAGGAGCCAGACAGCGTCTCGGCTCACTCACAGCTTCTTCTGGCCAGGCATCTCTCAGGATCTGAGTCAGTACTGCCAGATGTCTGCCAGAGAGTGGGGAAGAGAAGGGACTGGCACAGGTCCACCCTCCATCCCCTACCTATTAGTGAAGATCCGATCGGCAGAGTAGTTGTTGACATTATAGTTGCGCAGGCACTTTGGTCACTCTAGAGAATCTCGGGCCAATCGCACGTCCCCATGACGGCGACTTCGCTTAGGATGTTTCACTTTCGATGCCACTTTCTGTGCCTACCATGGTGTGGCGAAACCAACCTCGCCACTGTGAACTGGAGAAGCCTGGTTGCTCGCCTGCTCCCTTTGGACTATGGCCCTGCAGGTTAAACCGTTTATTTCCCCTGCAGAAAGGCTTATTTGTGTGATCTGAGTGCCATTCATCTAATAATGTGCACTCAGATCCCAGCTATCTGGGGATATGTGAAATGTCTGTGTGTTATGTGTAAATGTGACTTTATGTATTTTAAAGTGTTTTGTGTCTTTTTGCAACCATGTGCTTAATGGAGTCTTGTGTCTATCCTGGGAGATAATTGAATTACTCTCCAGGATAGAAGACTCTGAAACTGGTTTGGGCCAGAAAGCCATGCTTCATTTAGTCACAAAGGACTTTCCCTTAACTTTTGAACCCCTGGTCTGATTCGTGCCATTTTTTAATATGTTGTTCCCCTGAATGGATTGATTATGAAAATGTATGTTTTATGTTTGTGACATGTATATTTTAGAAGTTAGAAATATTGTGTAAAAACTGTATTCCTCTGCCGGTGATAATGAGATTACCCATTGTGTTCAGTAATCATATCACCTGCAGAGGGGAGGATTTTGTGTGGGAGTGTCTGGGTGTATTGTATGGATTGATTGGTTGTTTTGTAACGCCCTGTGGGCTGTACTATGTTTGTGGATTGGGAATAAAAGAGACTGTATGTGACAGTACAGGAGTTCCTGTTTTAACCCTCAAAGTGAAGTGTCGCCTCATTATTGGGGGAAGGATTTATTGTATGCTGTTCCAGTTTGACTGCTAGGAGAGTAAACCTATTCGTATGGTTCCTATTCAACTGTCTACAGCATTCATATGCTTGTGAGGATTCATATGCTTCTCCGGTTCGGTGGTTGTGGTGTCTGCTGCAGTGCTTGGAGTCCTCAGGAAGCGCTAGGAGCATCCTTTAACGGAGGTATCCAGTCGGGGTGCCAGGTGATCCGTTACACATGGTGACCAGGGGTAATGGGGAATCAGGTTTCGATACCGGAGAGGGAGTCTGAGAAACGGCTTCCACATCCAAGGAAGGCAGCAGGCACGCAAGTTAACTACTCCCAACGCGGGGAGGTAGTGACGACAAATAACAATACAGGACTCTTTACAGGCCCCGTAATTGTAATGAGTCCACTTGAAATCCTTTAACTATGATCAATTGGAGGGCAAGTCTGGTGCAGAGCGACTGACCCATGCGTGCTGCAGCTGAAACTCCACTATCACCTGCTGCTGCACGCATAGTCTCTACAGCATGTGCAAGGTGAAGTTCCACCTTGTAGGCACGTCGCATATGAGGCGGTGAGTGGGAAGGTGTCACGGCTGCTAGTGTGGTCCAACACGCAGAAACAATGTAAACATATACATACAAAAGGAGAGGAAATAAAAGGACAGAGCGTAAACCGGACCTTAGAATGGCCGGACTAATACGCTAGAGATAGAGAATGGTCAAAGGGAAAGCCGAGGTCAAGGAAGCCAGAAATACTCAGATACCGTTTAAACAAGCCAAGTCAGGGGAACCAGAATTCGGAATAACCAGGGAAAAGCCAAGATCAGGATACCAGGAAGTAATATTCACAAAGATAAACGCACTCTAGGGAACCAGGAACAGGAAACCACGACAGGGCAAGGTACTGGGCGACATGGAGGAATGGTTCCCGGCTCGCCGCTGACAGGTAAGCTCAGTGAGTTGGTGCGGTCGTGCCGGTCAGGCATGGATGCATATGGCGGCGAGCCGGGGGCCGTGACAGAAGGCCAAAGTTATGCTGCAGCGCAGACAGGCGAGCAGCAGCAGGGTGAGAACGCCAAAAGCGCGCACAGCCACTACAGTGAATGTCACATCCTGTTCCAAGTTGCGGATCAGTCTGGTGATGGCTTCTGGTATCCAGTACTCTTTTTACTGAAGCTTCATCAGGGTCCTGGTATGTGGCCGCACAAATGCTGGTGCTCAACACCAGGGGGCATGCAGTTACCCTGCACCAGACAATGCTAATCCATTCCACACTGTGACTCCTAACTTCAACATAAGGCATACTGGGTCCCGGTCATCTGCCCGCCGCCCGGACAGTGTCTGGGTCATGGTCACCAGACTGCGAATGGCTCGTTAAATCTGTTATGGTTCCTTTTATCGCTCCATCTGTTACTTGGATAACTGTGGGAATTCTAAAGATAATACATGCCGACGAGCGCTAGGTGACGGCCACTCCGCTTTTGCACCCTGCTCCCTCTTATGCTGTGCTGGTGCCCCTGTGCGACCAGCGCCTCTTCCTCCAAACTGCACAAATCACTCGCATGACCTTGATTCCATGTGGGGTCTAGGACCTCATCATCCTACACATCATCTTCCACCCACTCCTCAACCCTTCCCTCCTTGCCGTTCTGCACACTGCAGAAAGCCACAGCAGTTGGCACCTGTGTTTTTCCAGCATGTAAACTCTGCAAAGGACATATGAGAATTGTTTTAGAATTGTATCCAGGCAACAGTTTTCCCTATAAACTGACCTCTCAGTTTGACTTGTGAGGGTATTGCCCCCGAATTACAATATTGTTATATTGGTATTTGATGGTTCTATTTGACTGTCAGATATGAAGTGCAGGTTGCAAATGTACTATTTAACAACCCCAAAAATTTGAATTGGTCAAACTGCGCTGTAACCACAGTATTTGACGGTTCTGTTTGACTGTCAGATATGAAGTGCACACCCCAAATTTACTTTTTATCACCCAAAACAATTAGAATTTTTTCAAAGGGTGCTGAAAGCACAGTATTTGACAGTTTTATTTGACTCTCAGATATGAAGTGCACCGCAGGACGCAAATGTACTATTTAGCAGCCCAAAAATTTGAATGTTTAAAATTGCTATGTCACAGCATAATTTGACGGTTTTATTTGACTCTCAGATATGAAGTGCAGGCACCAAATTGACTTTTTAGCACCTAAAGAATTAGAATTTTTACAACTGCAATGTAAGCACAATATTTGACAGTTCTATTTGACTCTCAGATATGAAGTGCACCGCAGACTGCAAATATACTATTTAGCAGCGAAAAAATGTGAATGTTTAAAACTGCTATGTCACAGCACTATTTGACGGTTCTATTTGACTCTGAGATATGAAGTGCAGGGCCCAAATTTACTATTTAACAGATTAGCACCAAAACAATTATAATTTTTACAACTGCGCTGTAGCCGCAGTATTTGACGCTTCTATTTGACTCTCAGATATGAAGTGAAGGGCCCAAATTTACTATTTAGCAGATTAGCACCCAGAAAATAAGAATGTTTACAATTACGCTGTAACTGCACTATTTGACGCTTCTATTTGACTCTCAGATATGAAATGCAGGGCCCAAATTTACTATTTAGCAGATTAGCACCCAGAAAATAAGAATGTTTACAATTGCGCTGTAACCACACTAATTGACGCTTCTATTCGACTCTCAGATATGAAGAGCATGCCCCAAATTTACTATTTAGCAGTTTAGCACCAAAACCATTAGAATTTTTACAACTGCGCTGCAACCACAGTATTTGACGCTTCCCCACTAGTGCACCCCACTAATGTACTTTTTAGCACCCAAAAAATGTTAAGTTTTAAAACTGCAATGTGACAGCAGTATTTGACACTAGTGATGTCGCAAACATAAAATTTTCGGTTCGCGAACGTCGAACACAAACTTCCGCAAATGTTCGCGAACCGGGCGAACTGCCATAGACTTCAATAGACAGGCAAATTTTAAAACCCACAGGGACACTTTCTGGCCACAATAGTGATGGAAAAGTTGCTTCAAGGGGACTAACAACTGGACTGTGGCATGCCGGAGGGGGATACATGTCAAAACTCCCATGGAAAATTACATAGTTGATGCAGAGTCTGGTTTTAATCCATAAAGGGCATAAATCACCTAACATTCCTAAATTGTTTGGAATAACGTGCTTTAAAACATCAGGTATGATGTTGTATCGATCAGGTAGTGTAAGGGTTACGCCCGCTTCACAGTGACAGACCAAACTCCCCATTTAACGCACTGCAAACAACCGCAAACAATCAATTTGTACAACCGCAAACTCCCCATTTACACAAGGTTGGATACCAAGCTAGCCATGTCCCGTTTGTTTTCCTCACTGATGTCATTGAAGGTCTCTTCCTCCACCCAGCCACGTACAACACCAAGTGTCCCCAAAAGGTGACAACAAGCCCCCTGGCACGCCTGCTGTGTTTGGTCTTCCACCTCCTCAAAGCCACCTTCCCCCTCTGACTCCTCTTCTTCAGACTCCTCTCTCTGTGTTGCCTCTCTCTGCGTTATTATAAGGTGTGTTAAGTAGTACTATTCCTATCAATTTAATCCCTGTTACGTCCCCTATCAGGGGACGTGTATATGGCATCGATTTTAGGAACCGGGAGATGGAAAAAGATGCTTGGTCGGTCCTCCTTCTTCAAATTTGGGGCACTGCACGTGCAATCTAATGTGCCACCAGATAGGAGTGGTGTGTTATGTAGTACTATTCTTATCAGTTTAATCCCAATGTCACCACTAGTGTGGTCCAGCACGCAGAAACTATGTAAACATATACATAGGCAAGAAAAGGAAAATAAAAGGACAGAGCGTAAACCGGACCTTAGAATTGACGGACTAATACGCTAGAGACGAGAATGGCCAAAGGGAAAGCCGAGGTCAAGGAAGCCAGAAAATACACAATACCGTTTACACAAGCCAAGTCAGGGAAACCAGAATTCAGAATAACCAGGGAAAAGCCAAGATCAGGATACCAGGAAATCAGATTCACAATGATAAAGCACTCTCAGGAAACCATGACAGGGTCTCCTCAGACTCCACCAGCTTGTATGGTAAAAGCTGGCGGGCTAAGAGTTCAGTCAAGCCAGCTGTCAGACGCCTGGCAAGGGGGTGACTGCTCAAGGCAAGTGACGGAGGGGCGGATGGTTGAGAGGGGGCAAGGAGGACAGCAGTGGTGTGGCTTTAGATGCTGGAACAGGAGGAGGATGGCGGCTTTGAGTTTGTGTGCTGCTTGTACTCATGTGTTGATCCATAGGCGTTTGTGATATGCGATCATGTGCCTTCGCAAAGCAGTTGTACCTAGGTGGGTGTTGGACTTCCCATGACTCAGTTTCTTTTGGCACAGGTTGCAAATGGCATCGCTGTTGTCAGAGGCAGACACACAAAAAAAAAAGCCACACTGCTGAGCTCTGCAATGACGGCATTCTGGTGGTGGCCGATGCATGCTGTCTGACTGTGCCACTAGCTCCTTGCGACGAACTCCCCCTGCTTCCAACTCATCTCCTCCTCCTCCTCCTCTCTGTCTCCCCATCTGAACTTTCCCCCTGTTCTTCTTCTCTTCTAGCGGGCACCCACGTGACATCCACGGACGCATCATCATCATCAACCGCTTCACTTGTATCTGACAACTCAGCAAAGGAAGCAGCAATGGGTACAAGATCATCATCATCACACCGTACGTCCATGTGTGTAATGCTGCCTGACTGAGACATATCCCTCTTATCTACATCCTCTGGCAATAATGGTTGTGCATCACTCATTTCTTCCAACTGATGTGTAAATAACTCCTCTAACATACCAAATTAAGCTGCTGTGGTGCTAGTGTTGGTGGTGGCGGCAGGCGGGCGAGTGGTAACTTGAGAGGTGCCCGAAGCTAAGCTGGAGGAGGATGGTGCGTCAAGGTTCCGAGCGGAAGCTGTAGAAGATTGGGTGTCCTGTGTTAGCCAGTCAACTATGTCCTCAGAACTTTTCGAGTTCAGGGTACGTGGCCTCTGAACACTGGGCATTATTCTAGGGCCAAAGGGAATCACAGCACCACGACCACGACGGCCCCTGCGGGGTGGCCTGCCTCTGCCTGTCATTTTTTTTTCGATTAGTGGTACTATGCGTGCAAGCTACTGTGACAACAGATATGAGTGGCACTGTGCAGTGGCAGAAGTTGTCAGAGTAGACGCTGTAGGCCTGACACACACGCTTGCAGACAACTAACTGCTATTCAATCTATTACAGTCAAAATTTTTTTTTTTTTTAAATGTACACTACTGTTACACCAGATATGAGTTGCACTGGTGTGACACTGTGCCCTGGCAGGCCCTGAAACGCACACGTGTGAAGGAAACTGACTGCTATTATATTACAGTCCAAAAGGTTTTTTTTTGTTAAATGCAAGCTATTGTGACACCGGATATGAGTGGTGGCACTGGGCAAGTGGGCACAGTATACGCTG